TTATTTTTTATGTGGTGCCGAGGATTGAACCCAGTGCCTCATACTGCTAAGCAAGCATTCTTACCATTGAGCCACAACCCCAGCCCCACCAGGTTTTTTTTTTTTTTTTTTTGAGCCAGCTATTTATCTGACTTGCTGAAGTGATAACTATGGATGTGTTTAACACCAGTTGATTATGGAAAGATTGGTTTGGTAGTAATGATAGTTGGAATCTGGAATCATATCCTAGGTTTGCCTTTATTTCCAGGTCCTTGAATGAATTGCTAATTTCTCTTAAGCACATTTTATTTTTAGAGTAGTTAATAAGACTTAAATACTGCACTGCACTGAGGAGCCCAGCATATATTTACTTAATTATGTAACATTTTCTTAGTCCCATTGTTTAACCAGTATGATAAAAGAAATATCAGTACTAGTGGAAGGATCTGTCTTTATAGGGATGTTTCCTTATTTAATATATTAATAGATAATTTCTACTTAAGACTCAACAACTACAGCTGGCACATAAAAGAGAATTCACATATTGTTAATGCTTCTACTTCAACAGCCCTATCAGCGTTTTTATTTATTTATCACTGGGCTCTATGTCTACGTAATTATTTTAGTATGTGATCAAGTGAGTCTTACCTAAGTCTCTCATCAACATTAGAACTGTGCTTTATTTTTAAAGAGAACACTTTCTGGAGATACAAAACTTAATACCCTTTCTCTAAGATATGTTTTTAAAGGCGGAAGATAACAGATGATTCTGCCACTGATGTTTGGCAGTGGATGTGTATTATTCCATGTCATGAATGTTTTTTGTGTCTCACTGCTTTCAAAAATAGAGTAGTAATAAAAGGCAACATCTGTTGTCTTTTGACCTGTTAAATATTTTAATAAAGCAAATTATATGTCCCTTAACCCTAAAGAGGTTACTTGAGGTGTGGTGATGCATGCCTCTAATCCCAGGGTCTTGAGAGGCTGAGGCAGGAGGATCACAAGTTCAAAGCCAATCTTAGCAATTTAGCGACCCCTAAGCAACTAAGCAAGACCCTGTCTCAAAATTTAAAAAATAAATATAAAAAGGGTGGGGATGTGGCTCAGTGGTTAAGTGCCGCCCCTGGGTTCAGTCCTTGATACAAAAAAAAAAAAAAAAAGTGGTAATTCGAATTTTCCTTTGTGTGGACCCTTTTTTCACTTACCATTTCAATTATGAGCTCTACAAATGCTCATGATGCTTTTGAAATATTATGCTAATAGAGTAGTAGCAAAAGGAACTAATTTTTCCTTATACATACAAACACCAAATTATTATATATATATTATATATAACCACTAGGATTATAGTAGGGCTTAATTGGAACTTTGTTAATTCTCATTTAAAAAGGTACGGAAAATAATCTGAGCATGGTGGTGCACACCTGTAATCCCAGCAGCTCCAGAGGCTGAGGCAGGAAGATCATGAGTTCAAAGCCAGCCTCAGCAAAAATGAGGTGCTAAGCAACTAGTGAGACCTTGTCTCTAAATAAAGTACAAAATAGGGCTGACGATGTGGCTCAGTGATCAAGTGACCCTGGGTTCAATCCCCAGTACCCACCCCCCCCCCAAAAAAAAGGACAGAAAATAAAATTGGTTTGAGGCTGTATGTACTTAGAACTTGTGATCATTTAATTCATTTTAAAACAGAAAGCAAAACTGTAATACTCTGTGTTTGGATGCAAGGTTTTCTCATTATGACTGAAAAGGAAATATGAAAAATGTATTTATTGCATAATATAGAAATGATAGCATAATATTTAAGGCCAACTATAAAATGGACACTTAGCTCACATTGGTTTCTGGTGGCAATGGGGCAGAGGAAGTGGAGATGGAGGTATAGCTGTGAAAGTGTTTATATGCCATGCACAATCTTTTAATCCATTTCTAGAAAATGCTTACCTGAGGGGAAAAAAATCCCTTTTAAAACTTTTCTTTCTTTATAGGCACTTACCAGGCTGTATTTGGACAAGGCCACTTTAATATGGAATGGAAATGTTGTTACAGGGCTAGATGCCCTAAGTAATTTTTTCGAGATGTTGCCTTCTAGTGAGTTCCAGGTCAATATGTTAGATTGCCAACCAGTCCATGGTAAGATGATCTTTCAAAGTACTTCCTTTGTTTTCTTTAGTGGGCACTAAGCTTTTATACCAAAAGTGGCAAATAACTTAGTGGTAGAAATATTTACTTATTTGAGCAAGTTAAATATGAAAATTTCATCTTGGTCTTCCATTAGATGCTTCTCACTCCATAGAATCACTAATAGGTTTTGGTAGACTATGGAATTATGACCTATTGAAAGTTATATGAGAAATAGAGATTAAATATTATTTTTGTTAATGAAGTGTATTTCCAGAGATTTTATTTTTTTGGTACTGGGGGTTGGACTCAGGGGTCCTCTACCATTGAACCACATCCCCAGCTCTTTTTATTTGTGTCAAGGTCTCACTAACTTGCTGAGGCTGACCTAAAACTTCTGATCCTCTTGCCTCAACTTTCTGAGTTGCTGGGATTATAGGTGTACATCATCACACCCTGTTTCCAGAGAAAATTTATGCCATATCTCTAATGTGCTTCAGTATTTTACAACATATTCAAATTTCACGAAAATTTATTCTTTTATGTGAAAGGATGACTTTAAGCCAGAAAGAATTTGATTTAGAGTAAATTGATGCAGTTTATAATAATTACCTCTAGGTGGGGTCCTTAGTATCTTAAGTAGTTGTTTAGGGTGATTATTTTTCCTTTATAGTTGTTGAAGAATAACTTAAGTAAAATATCAATAAAGCTCTGTTAGAAAGCTAATGAAATATTAATATATACAGGAAGCAAATGGTCCTATAAGTTCTTTATTTTGAAACTTCAGATTACCCCCAAATCTTTCTAGATCAAAAGTAATTTTGATATTTTTGAAAATAGTATTTCATTTTCTGGATTTGAACATACATGTTCAAGATTATGCTTAAGGTAAAGAATGTTTATGGAAATTTCATTGTTAGATCATAAGCAATTGTAGCCTGAAAATTTGCCTATTTAGAGACAGAAACTAATCTCTTTCTTCTTTGTGTGTGGACAAAGAGCAAGCTACCCAGTCCCAGACTACAGTTCTTGTTGTGACCAGTGGAACTGTGAAGTTTGATGGAAACAAACAACATTACTTCAACCAGAACTTTCTGCTGACTGCTCAGTCCACTCCTAATAGCACCGTGTGGAAGATTGCTAGTGATTGCTTCCGTTTTCAAGATTGGGCTAGTAGTTAAAGGGGTAAAAGTCTATTGTTATTCTGCTATTTCATGAAGCAGAGGTCTGTGTGAATTGATTCATTTAATTAGAAAAACACTGTAAACTGGTTTGTGCTGAAACTAAGTTTCTTCAGTATTTTTTTATTCCTAGCAGCACCTTTTCTAGCAGCTGCCAGTTTGGATTGTTGCCCTTCAGAGCTTTAATGCTAGTTTTTGACATGCCTTATATACATTCCACTAATGACATTCTTAAAGTAATGTTAAACACATGATCTTGGTACTAACATACTCACTGTGAACCCAGCCTATCACAAAAATGGAATCCTTTTGTAATACTATCTGTGGAGTAGTAGCACAATATAACTCTGTGGGAGTAAGTGGGATTTTTTTTTTTTTGGGTTAATAGGTTGAATTTTTACTAAACCACATGCCTATTTTCAGTTAACACTGGTAATGCATTGCAATATACAGTAAGTTTATCAGTTCATAACCTACTATGATATATTAGAATTGCATGTGGAATATTTAATAGACTTTTTCGTGTTAAATTTTCTTATTTTGAGTTTTTATTTTATAAGTGAATTAATAACTAAATAGGTAAAAATGTTTTAAATTGACACTTGATTGTTGGGTGCATTTGGTGGATTAAGACTTCTTAAAAACATGTTGGCAGCTCCAGGTCTAGAAATTTTGGTAATGAGTGCTAGAAGAACTAATAGCTTTAATGGGAGAATGGGGAGTGAGAAATGTAGAAATATCCAAGGTTGAAGCTAAAAGTGAGGGGGGGGGTGTGACTAAATGGTAAAAGTTTTGTACTGGTTTACTACCTCCTAAAACTGAAACCTATTTTTAGGATTTAAATCACTAAGTTATTATGTATCCTTGCCAAATGTCATGAGTGTCACATTTGTTCTAAGAATGATTTTTAAGGTCTTTATACTTCACCTTATACTTGTCACCATCATGTATCTGTTTATTCAAAAACTTATGGGGGTTGAATGTCAGCAGTAAGCCTAATCTTGTAACAGGGTCTAGAAGGAAAGTTGGAAACAAAGCCATTGCTATCTCTTTGTGACACCCTTAACTAAGTCTTCCAGTGAATGTTAGGCCCAAAGATTCCTATGTATTACTCACCCCCATGTTTTGTGCTGTTAAAGTTAAAATTATTTGGTTTGTGATTCATTCTTCCATATGACGTTGGGCACATTTATTTTAAAACATGTTCCTGTTAACATGACTATCTCATTGCCTTTTTTGAGAGAAAAATAGAGAACAACAGATCTTCGTGATAAACTTCAAAAGAACAAATAGATTAATTTTATGTCTTGACTACTGAAGAGGAAAAGAATAACCTAGCTCTGGTTCTTGCTTATTGTTTTAAAATATTTGCAATTTATAATGTTTTAAAGCTAGATATGCCAGCTTTGTTTCTACATTGCAGCCAAGATTAATGTTTCTTATTACCTAATCTTAAAATCATTTACTTAAATCTTAAATTCATTTACTCACCCAAAGCTATACACTGTATTTCTGATATACTATCAAAATAGAATTAAACGAGAGAAGTGGGTGGAACTGACATTTAAACCACACCTTCTTTTAGTACTGATCAAAAATTGCACATTATTTCCTACTCAAAGGGAGCTTATTCTTATTTTGAACTGATTTTTTTAAACCGCAGCTCTAGCAGCAACAAAATGCCCAAATACTGCCCTTTCTCTTGTGAATAACAGTCGAAAATAAAAGTTGCATATAACTAGCAATAACTGAATTGAATGGTTGTGAATTGCTTTTTCCAAAATCTGTATAACTTTTAAATGGCTGGAACTGCTCTTATATGGACTAGACTATTTTTGACATGCTCATATTTTTATAACTTGAAAAATAAAATTTGCCTTGTGAAAAGTTTTCTCAAGCTTGTTTTAAGATGTTTTGATTTTTGTTTTTAAGGCTCCCAAACAGCTGGTTGCTTCTTTACAATATTAAGGATTTTCAGATTTAAAACTAGCATCAAAATGTTGAAAACAGTGGTTGACATCTGGGACTTTTTCTGTAGACTGCCTTATTCTTCCTCTTTTTCTGCATGTATTCACATTCCCAAGATCACCTGTTTGAGGTACTAGTGAAGACTGGTAAGAAGTGAGAAATCCTAGCCTTGAGAAACTAGCCAAAAGTTATATTCAGGAGGCAGTGAAATCAAAGTACAGATGAGTTCCACAAAAAATGTTTCCATTAAATTTAATTCTATGTTTTTATGGTGACAGACATTTTTTAGGAAGAATGAGAAGAGCCAATAACCATTAAAATCAAATATTTTCATGTCTTCAAAGATGCACATTTTTTTCACATTTTAACATCACTAAAAGACAAGTATAGGGCATTGTTGGAATTATGTCCCATGAAGGGTCTTGGAATCCAGCATAAATCTGGGATTGAGGCACATGTATCCTTAGATGGCTTTCAAATTTTTCCTGATTCACAATAATTCATATCTTTTACATCATAACCCAATATGCAGATGCATAAATAAACTGAGGAAAAAATGATTAAACGTGCAATGTATTCCTGGCTTTTTCTGTTAAATTCTATTTTTTTTTTTTTTTGAAAATGCTAGCCATAACCAGCTCAGTTGATGTTTAAAACTTTTATTTAACTGGTTGTACTAACACTTTGAAAAACAAAAAAAGCTGAGGAAGCTTATTTCAACTGGCATTTTTTTCTTAGGGATGTAGGGCCAGCTTCCAAAAAATGGTGCCATATGTTAGTGACATTACACTGACTTATAAGTTGTCAGAAATTTCTTTCTCAGGTTTGTCATAATCTGTTGATGGCCATAAAGTGCAGCATTGTATTCTTCCCATTCCTCCATTTGCACCAGAAGTTTAGTGCTAAGAAAGCAAATGTTTAAGTTAGTCTTTAGGCATAATCTGAGAATAGCATGAGGTAGTGAAAAGGAGTAGAAACAAAAGAACTTGTTCTATTTCTGATGCTCACTCAGAGAATAAAGGCATCTCATTAGAGCTGCTTTTGAACATGATTCAATATTGCATAAGCTATATTTCAATAAATTTTAAGTCAGTTTCACAGTTTTTTTCTTTTCCCGCCCTCCTTAAACACCCAAACACCTGCATATCAACATCTCTGGTTTGACAAAGTCTGTGGTGGTCTCTAAGGAGCAAATCCTGATCTCAGACCCTAAGAGATGTACTCTAAGCTCATTCTGCCCCTTACTACATTGTGACCTTAAGCAATTTGCTTACTCTGGGCTCCTGTTTTCATCTATTGAGTGGAGATATTTGCTCTGTTTGGCCTGCTAGGGAGTTGTGAGGATCAGATGAGACAACAGGTAAGTGCGTACCATGTGCTGCACAAATACAATGGTTATATTTTTGGCTTTGTGATTGACTTTCTCTAGTCCCCAAATTCATTCTTTTAGGGTAAAATTAATTGGTAGGGCTTACTGTCCACAATCAGACACTCATCCTTTCCACTGTCTTTAAAAGATGGTTATTTCAGCTCTATAAAATGTTTTGAATCAAAATGGATAAAGTTGGCTATGTTGCTGTAAAAAATAAGATTTGGGTCCTTGAAGGAATGATTAGCAATTTCTGACTACATTTTTTAAAGAAAAGGGTGGACTGATAAATTAATTCCACTTTTCTTGCTCAAGGGCAAGAAATCAACAAGAGAAGCCTGCAACATTTACCAAGTCCAGGTACCATGGTCCACCTTGGATCCCTGAGGTTCCAGAGGTGGCCAACATGCTCTTTGTTCCCTTGACACTTTTGACCCCATATCCCAGGCTTATGGCTCTTGAAAGAGTCTCAGGGAATGATTTCTTTAATTTGCTAATCTGTTCATTAGTAGGGCCCAGGATTCCCAGTGGTCTGGGCTCATCCTCAGAATTAACAATTAATTGACTTTAAAGTTTTCCAGAAATGTCAAGCCTGGGGGAAGGAGCCAGAGGAAAAATTAGCTGCAGGCAGAGGTAGGGGTTTGAAGAACATTTGGAAAGATGGTGCTTTCCAAACAACTGAAAATTAAAGGGGAGGAAGCAACAAGAGAAACCAGAAAAAACAGCTTTCCCTGAACAGGTAATTTATAATAACTCTGGAAGGGAAGGCATGGTGATAAAGGAAACCCTTGCACCTGAAAATCTCACGTTCAGGTGCATGTGTTTGTATACACACACACACACACACACACACACACACACACACACACACATACACATGTAAAATATATATATATATATATATATACACACACACACACACACACTCTCAAATCTCTGAGATGCCAATGACAAAACTTGGAACTAGAGGTCCTCCTACTTCCATGACCCTTTCTCCCATCTTTCTGGGGGCACTATATCTGTTATTCTTCCCACTTAGTAGCAGAAGCAGGACTCAGACCAGACCTTTCATATTCTTAATGTACAGTTCACAAGGGTAATAATACTACAATTGTTGTGTTGTAAATGGTTGAAGTCAAACCTGAGGGATGGTTAGCTGCCCATATATCAAGTATATACATGTATCTACTCATTGCACATCTTTGCAAGCAATTTTATTTCCTTAACTTCCCTGGCTGAAAGACTTCTAGAACCAAGTGTAAAAATGAAAAGCATGTTCAAGTGTATGTGTGTGTGTGTGTGTGTGTGTGTGTATCATATATATACACACACGCACGCACACACATACACACAGTCATCCCTGCATATCAGGAGAGAATTGGTTCTAAGACTCCCCCCATACCACCATCTGTGGATGCTCAAGTTTCTTACATAAAATGGCATCATTTTTGCATATCAACTGTGCACAAACTCCAGTATACTTTAAATCATCTCTAGAATACTTACAGCACCTAATACAATATAAATTCTATGTAAATAATTGTTATACTGTATTGTTCAGGGAAAATGACAAGAAAAAATGTCTGTAGTCAGTACAGAAGCAATTCTTTCTCTGAACATTTTCATCTGCAGTTGATGGAATCCCCAAATGTGAACCCATAGATACAGAAGGCCAAATGTGTAAGTAAATTAATGTAAAGCTTAGACAAATGTCTGGAAAAGAAATTACAATAGCACAAGGTTGGAGCCTCTCTCACCCCCACTGGAGCAAGCCCAAATTGTATATGCTGTCTTAGAAACATCATAAATAAGGTGATGCCTCACAGTCGTGCTGGTCTGCCTAAATACAGACATCCTGGTAATCATCTAGGTTTTTAAAGGGGTTTAGAGATGTGCCAGCTATAAACACTGCTCAATTCTCCCTTTAAGAAAGAGCTTACCTTTGAGCTTTAATTACAGGTAGCTGAGAGCCTCCATCTGCAGCACCTGAAGGCTCTGCTGCAGTATTTGAGCGCAGAGTCTGCTGCATGACTCTAGTAAATAACTGAGCACAGTGAGCGTGCTAAAACCCCGCCATTTCCATCCAGTGCAGGACTTCTCTGATGGACTATCTTTGCTCCACAAAACTCTGTGGACTGGCTGAGACTTCGTCAAGCCACATCACCACTTGCCTTATTCTGCTTTTATCCTTATTTCCTTTCACAAATGCTAGATAAACCTCAAGGTCTGAAGACTTTCCTGCCCACCCTTGCTTCCTCCCTCTTTTACTGGTGTTAATCCCTAATAAACCTCTTTGACTCATAAGTCCCATCTCCTATCTGTTTCATAAAGAATCAGAAATGACCCCAGGTTTTGTGTTGCCTATCCTTTGCTGAGTTGAAACACTGGTAAATTATGAAAGTTGTGACTTCTCAAGCAGATGTCCTACTACTAGCTTGCCTGACAATTATGAACATGTCCACAGGCAAGAGAAAAAAAGCAGGTGGCAAGGATTTATGTTAAAACCCCATGCCCAGGTGGCGGGAGAGGCTCTCCAGCCACTTGGACAGAAGGCTTGGGATCATGGCTAATTACATTTGGCCTTGTGAGGGCTGGAGTTGAAGAAGGAATGGAAAGACTGTCCATCCAGGCCTGTACTTAGGTTGTCCAGGCCTGGGAGTTGGAGATAGAGGATGGGGGGATGGTGAGGAGGATGCTGAGGAAATGGGAGTGTTTGGCCCAAGTGTCACTATTAATATACACTAAGAGGCCTGAGCATCCTGACATCTTAGCATCCTGGCAGAAAAATCTTCGTTTAACCAGTATTTTCTATACATGCTGGCCTACCAAAGATTTCTGTTTGTCCTTGCCTTCTGCCCCACCCTACCTCTTAATCTAACCTTTGTGTGCACTTGAAC